CAACCTTGTAAAGGATTACCAACACGGTTTTATGTCAGGGCGCTCCTGCTTAACGCAATTGCTCAAGGTATTGGATGTTTGGACCCATATTCTGGAATGGGGTGGTAATATCGACAATATATACAGTCGACCCTCGTTAATTTGGACCCCTTTAATCCGGATTTCGGATAATTCGGACAAAATCTGAACAAACTTTTTTTTTTTATTTGTAGGAATATTACCTACGCGGACCTCAAGCTAAAATGCTGGTCCACCCACTGCTGGGATAAAACACCAGCATCTTTTTGGTTAAATGTAACATCTCCACCACTAGTGTGGGGGGGGGGGGGATGCAACTTTTAGCTTCAGACATGAAAAATATTTACCATTTACTGCCAGTAAACAATGGAAACGTAAAATATGTACCAAATAGCAATGAAAAGTTGTGCAGTTCCTTCAGCAAATGAAGCTCACCAACTTACAATAGGCTAAATTACCTTACAACATGTTTTCAGTAGTCTCTATGTTGAAGTTCTTAGCACAGGCTAGCTTATCATATCATATACAGGATCACAGTTCTCATTGATCTACAAAAAATACCGGTAATAAAAACCTTTTTGATATTTCACACTTAATATAATACCCGGTAATCTACTTCAACCTCCTATTGTTTACAACGATGCATCACTCACCACCAGCTGTATCAGCTAGACGGTACACGTGTTTTTCGAATCGTTTTCAGTTAAAAAACTGTTACATCACATGTATATTTTACCTTAACTGTGCCTGAATGAATATATTCTCGGAAATAAATAGTAGTTTTGCTGAAACGTGATGTATTTTAATGTAAAATAGGATAAAATACATGACGAAAACAAAAGATTTTACCTAACCTTCCGATGTTCAAGAGAAGTTACTCGTTTTTTTAATAGTTTTTGGTTAAAATACTGTTATATTACAATGGTATTCTATTCATACTGTGCTTGATATAATGCATTCACGGAAATGTAATATTTTTGCTGAAATGACGTACGTATTAGTGGAAAGTGGGATAAAATCGTGACGAAAACAATGACTCGCTTTCTTTCGTTCCAAAGATGTTACCGTAATCGCTTTTCGATTGGTTTTCAGTTAAAAAACTGTTGTATTACAATAATATTCTATCCTAATTGACTTGAATAAATACTACGATACCATATTTCTGAATATTTTCATTAAAATCCATCCAAATCATTTTCCTTATCATCGTCTGCAGCACCAAACAGCTTCTCCCAGTCCTCTCCTTGAACAGGGCTAGAGAGTACGTGTTTTTCGAATCGTTTTCAGTTAAAAAACTGTTACATCACACGTATATTTTCCCTAAACTGCGCCTGAATGAATATATTCTCGGAAATAAATAGTAGTTTTGCTGAAACGTGATGTATTTCAATGTAAAATAGGATAAAATACATGGTTCTGGGATTGTCCAAAAGATGGGTCACGAGGCAGCTTTGTGCGCGCGTGAGTCACGCCAGTCATTCTTGACCTAGCGCCATATTCGAGTATCAGTGCTGTGATGCCCTGCAATTTTCATTGATATTTCAGGAATTAGGCATCTTTCAGCCTTGTATTTTACATCATGACTTCAAGGGGGAGTAAAACGCCGAAGAGGAAGTATGTGACCCTTTCTGTGAACCAGAAACTGGAACTTATAAGGAAGTTAGAGGCTGGTGCTTCGGTGGCTAGAGTTTGTAACGAGTATGGTGTTAAAAAGCAAACAGTTTCAGACATACGCAAGGCTAAGGACAAACTCACTGCATTTTCTTTGAAATATAATGTTGATGCAACTTCTAAATCATCATCTGTTGGTGCAAGGAAGCCTATGAGAGTGGCAAAAGATACAAATCTTGAGGAGGCAGTGACGAAGTGGTTTGTGCAACAACGATCCTGTGGTAATGTCGTCCGTGGTGTAGAAATACAAGCTGCTGCTGTTAAGCTAGCAAGTCATATGGGCATCGAGAATTTCAAAGCTAGTGATGGGTGGTTATGGCGATTTAGAAATCGCCATGGAATGTGTAATAAAATTACCCATGGTGAAGCTGGTCGCGCACCCACCAAGGACATCGAACCATTCAGGGAGAGGCTAAATGACTTAATTAAGAGTGAAGGGCTCCTGATTTCCCAAGTCTATAATGTAGATGAAACTGGGTTGTATTGGCGGTCCCTACCCCGGAATACCCGAACTTTCAAGAATGAAGCCTCCTCACCTGGTCGTAAAGTAAGTAAGGAATGATTTTCGGCATTGTTTTGTGCGAACGCAGACGGTATGCACCGTTTAAAGTTAGTGGTGGTGGGAAAGGCAGCACCATCTACCAGAAGGATGTACTTTAATAGGTTATTCTAGTGTGACCAACATCCACACAGAAAGAGTGGGCACCTCGGGCAAAACGTGTGTTATGAGCCCACGGCCTTGCCGGCAGTACACAGAATGCCAAATCCACCGAACATTGCCCGTTAAAGTACCTGTAAAAGAGAGAGTGAAGCAACATTGCGGCGAAGAGAAAGGGAACAAAGATTGTCAACTAATGGAGGAGAGTTAATAAGAAGAAATGCCTTTGATTCCACCCTATCTAACAGTTGGACAGAAGAAGAGCCACCCCAGATATGAAAACAGTACTCCAAGTTAGAACGAATGAATCCCTTATAAACTTGAAGCAACTGCTCAGGAGTGAAGTAGCTATGGCATCTGTACAGCTTTCCCAGCTTTTGGGAGGCAGCTTTAGCTATGTTGTGGATGTGTGGCTTCCATGACATATTAGAGGAAATGGTGAGGCCTAGCATATCTATTTTAGAATTTGGCAGAATGACTGCATCCTGAAATGTGATTGGTAGGAGGTCATCTAATTTGGAAAGTGTAATTGGTAAATACCAAGTTTTATCACTAATGAATTCTACCTCCCCTTTCGGAGATGCTGCACAGTTCCGCATTGATATATGAAATGATTCAGCTCTAGAAAGAGATCTAGTTTGAGAATTTGAGGGAAGGGTAAAATGTGAAGAAGAATGAAGAGTAGAATCATCAGCGAAAAAAATGGATAAAATTAGTTGTAGTGTGAAGAAAATCATTGATAAAAAGAAGGGAGAGAGTAGGTGAAAGAACAGAACCCTGTGGAACACCACTATTGATAGAGAAAGAGCGAGAGATCAATCCCTCGACAACAACTGCCATGGATCGGTTCTCAAGGAAGCTAGAAATTATAGAACAGGGTGGGGGAGAGAAACCATAAGAGGGAAGTTTAGAAAGCAAAGACTTGTGCCATACCCTGTCAAATACTTTGGAGATGTCGAGGGCCACGACGGAAGTTTCCCCATAATCCCTAAGAGAGGATGACCAAAGATGGGGGCAGTAGGAAAGCAGATCACCAGTAGATCTCACCTGGCGAAAGCCATACTGGTGATCCGACAAAAGAGAATGGCGTTCAAGGTGACGGAGAAAATGCCTGGTGTCATTTTCTAAATATTGACCCAGATCTGAACAAAACACATCAAAATACATAAGTAGTCAAACATCTCGTGAAAAAATTTGAGGTTGTGCTAAAATGAATAATTACCCTTTCGGTTTAATACAGCAGGGACAGCTAGGGAGTTAAGTAAGGTAAGGTAGATTTCTGTGGTTGGTTAGGTCAGGTTGTATGGGAGGGTGTTAAGAAAAAAACGACTCATTTCCGCTGGAAATGAAGGTCAAATTTGAATGAATCACACCAAATGCCATGGGAAAAACAAAAATTTATAGTCGTACAGTAGTTGTGGCTGAAACTGTAAATTTACCAAAAGAATCCATGATAATAGTAAAAAAATCCGGGTGAAGGTGCAGTTTAGGGCTAACACCAGAAGGAGTTTGTTGATCTTCGTTATTATGCTATACTTATTGTTTTGATGATGTTAAGTATATTAAAAGAAACGACAACTTTCCAGTACAAATTTAAGTCAATTTTTTTTTTTTTTTTATTTACTCTAGCTCGCTTCATAATTCTCCTCCCGATGCCATTTTTTTTTGTTTACCTCGCTGAATCCCTCTTCAAGAGACGTTTCCTATAAATTATGGTGAACGCTTCCACGAATTCCTCCTGATGTATATCAACCTCAATATTAAGGTAAGTTGTTTACCACATAAATTAACACGATAATGCATAGAACCTAAAAGAACTTGAACTAACATACCCAACCTATGGGTAAGTTAGGTCAGGTTTTATTAGGTTCTATGCATTGTCGTTTCCATTTCTGTTTATTAGCATGCTAGTAATGTGTGTAGAAAAAATTTCAACCAGATCAACAAACAACTTCTGGTATTAGCCCTAAGCTACCCCTTTACGGGTCCGACTAATTACCCAAATGTAGCCGCAATGAAGTCAAATAATGGTCCTACATGAATAAATCGGATTGCTAATCACTTCTCGACTAGTATTTGGTGTCACAAAGTAAAAAAATTGGAAAACGTAATTTAATTTGAGTTAATAGATCGCGTGCATGTACCGAGGGAGCGAGTAATTACCCAAATGTAGCTGCAATGAAGTCAAATAATGGTCCTACATGAATAAATCGGACTCCCAATCACTTCTCGACTGGTATTTGGTGTCACGAAGTCACAAAAAATTGGTAAACTTAATTTAATCTGAGTTTATAGATCAAGTGCATGTACCTAACCTAACCTAACACAACTCAGATTAAATTAAGTTTACCAATTTTTTGTGACTTTATGACACCAAATAATAATCGACAAGTGATTCACAGCCCGATTTACGCTTGTACGGCCATCATTTGACTTCATTGCGGCTACATTTGGGTACATTTGGGTAATTAGTCGGACCGCTAACATAATTAATTATACTATGGAAACCAATAGACGCCTCATTTGAGTGCGTAGCTTTAGGTAATCTTACACCAATGTTTTAAGCTTTAGATACAAACTAAACATAGTCTCCTTCACATAGGATATGGCAATAAATTATAGGTGTTACAATGTAACTTTTACTTCAACTTACTTGAATGTGCAGGCAGCAGTGATGTTTGAAATGTTATTTACTAATCCCGCGTGATGTTCCGTTGTTACACACAGGCACACTAATACTATCTCATATACTACATACCAACTACGCAATCACTATTTGGTTTCAGTTCTTTGGTCTGGGCGCGAATAATGGCGGAATTACTAGTAATATGAACAAGACGGGAAAATAAAGGAATGTAAGGTGCTCTTGAGGAAAATCGGCGGAAGGGAGCGGCTGTACTGTGTTGTCGGATTTTAAGTTCCAGGCCACACTGCCACAAGACCCACAACTGTGCATCAGAGTGACAGTGACCCGCCTCCGTCTGCCTCCACACAACCTTGACTTGGGCTTCCTCAACGGCAACCCAACTCCATAACTGTATACTATACGGCATATATAAATGGATCGGTAAAGAGTTAGGTAAATGCTGTTATTATTACTCAGAAAATTTATAAGCTGTTAGATTTTTTTTAGATTGCTCCCGAGGGGGCTAGTTTATTGGGCACCCATTATATCCTGTTCAGGGGTTCTGTTCTTTCACCTACTCTCTTCCTTCTTTTTATCAATGATTTACTTCACACTACAACTAATTCTATCCATTCGTACGTTGATGATTCTACTTTTCACTCTTCTTCACATTTTCCCCTTCCTCCCAATTCTCAAACTAGATCTGTTTCTAGAACTGATATCATTACCTCTATAAATGCGGATCTATGCAGCATCTCTGAATGGGGAGGTACAAACTTGGTTAAGTTCAATAGTAATAAAACTCAATATTTACCAATTAGGCTTTGTAAATTAGACGATCTCCCACCAATTACATTTCAGGACGCTATTATCCTGCCAAACTCTGAAATAAATATGTTAGGCCTCACCATTTCCTCCAATATGTTCTGGAAATCACACATCCTTAGTATAGCTAAAGCTGCCTGCCGAAAGTTGGGAATGCTGTACAGATGCCGTAGCTACTTCACTCCTGAGCAGTTACTCCAAGTATATAAGGGATTGTAGTGGCTTTCTCCCCTACAAACGCTGTTTGTCGCTGAGTAGCCGACCCCACCAATTCCCCAGTGTATGCCTCGTGGTCTAGGTCAACCAGCGCCGCCATACATCACTGAGCGGGGGTCAACTACTAAGCCACGCCTACCCACCGCTATTTAAGACCTGACCTCGTGGTGACCTGTCTCTTTTCTACCTACACCAACCAGCCAGCAACACCTCCTCCGCCTGCCTGGTGGTCCTCGCTCCCGCCGGCGAGCATGGCGACCCACAGGCTGGTCCTCCTCTGAGCATCCTCACCAACCAGCTCTCTCTACATCACGCTTGTAACCATGCTGCCTTCCCAGCACCAAGCTGCATTGTATATCCAATACAACATGTATATAGAGAGCACATTGTGAGTTTCCTTTCCCCAACCCATCCTGAGTGTGAACCAAATATCCTGAACCCCACAGGATTCATTCCCCCTAACTTGGAGTACTGCTCTCATATCTGGGGTGGCTCTTCTTCTGTCCAACTATTAGATCGGGTGGAATCAAAGGCATTTCGTCTTATTAACTCTCCTCCTTTAGTCGACAATCTCTCTTCCCTTTCTCTTCGCTGCAATGTTGCTTCACTCTCTCTCCTTTACAGGTACTTTAAGGGGCAATGTTCGTTGGATTTGGCATCCTGTGTTCCGCTGGCAAGGCCGTGTGGGCTCGTAACACACGTCTGTGGATGTCGGTCACACGAGAACAACCCGTTATAGTACCTCCTTCTTTCCTCACACAGCCAAACTGTGGAATGCTCTGCCTTCTGTGCTTCCATACTTATACAATCTGTCTCACTTTAAAAAGCTGGTTTTCCGACATCTTCGTGGTGTAGATTAACACAGTATAACCTTTTTCTTCTCTATTTTAAAAAAAAAATTTCGCCCCCCAGGCCCCGTTGTGGGCCGTTTGACCTGTGCCCGGGTGAGCTAATTCCCGTAAAAAAAAAACAAATATGGGAAGCATGCAGAGTTCATGCTTGCCTTTATGACTCATGCATTAAGGGCGTAAAAGCCAGAAGGGTCATGGGTTTTGTCAGCAAGTTACATAAAGTGACAGAATGATGAGTGTGTGGGGGGAAAATTCCCGGTACAATTTATCTGTTTATGGCGAAGTGTGACAGGTCCCTAATAATGTCAAGTGCCAGGCCTGTCATTAGGAGGAGGGATATCTGGTCAGGGAGGGAAGAGGTGTTGGTAACGGCTGGGGACCTGTAGGAGGAGGTCATAGGGCAAGTGAGGATGTAGTGAGAGAGGGTGTGAGAGTCGGTTGACCACAAAGTTTACAAACAGTGCGGCCAGGCTCAGGGCTGCCAATGTACTAGGCGTGGCGAAGTACAGTGGGGGTGGAGGTTATATGGTGTGGTGGGACAGGTACAGTAGGGGTGGAGGGAGGCACATAGACATTGACAATATTGAGGGACATACCTTTTAGTGTGATTGTGATGGCATGTGCATCGACATGCCAGTGGGGTACGGGTAGCCGGGGGTGGTGTCCTTAGGTCCAATAGGTAGCCCTATTGGAAACAGCACAGACACAGTTGCCGGCGCGGCTTGCGGTGGGTGGACAGGTTGAGGCACCACATGTCGTGAAGATGAAGCAGGACTTCGCTCAGGGGCAGCAGGACACACTAGGGCATGCCCGGTAGGTACTACACCAGCAGTGAAGGCCGCCGGCTGTGGAGTAGGCCGTGAGCAGGGGCTCACAGGGGGACTACCAGCCTGTGTCTTACCAGAAGAGAGGAGTGACCGGGTGGCAACAGAGGGCAAGAATAGGTCGGAGACGGTGGTACAGAGTGTAGCGAAGAGTTTTTCAATACGGTTGGTAAATTCTTGGAAGAGGGATATGATCTGTGTCATGTCACTGGAGGGGGGCTGTGGGGGGGCACCGGTGGGAGCACAAGGCCTGACAGCGTCAGAGTAGAGATGGGGAGGAGGGACAGTAGTAGTTGTTCAGTTAGGAGACGGCCAGGACTGCTGTGTTGCAGCCAGGTGAGGCCAGGCAGGGGCAGGTGTTGTTGAAGAAGGCGTTGCTGGAGACTGTGGGGGTCATTGTGGTAGATGCGGCCTTCGGGTAGGCTTTTCCCGTGGGACAGACGGACGATTGGGGCATTGCCGTGAGTCAGCATTGTGCTGGCCGCCATAGTTACAACACCTGAGATCAACAACATTGCCCACACCACCCCTATTAAGGTGATCCTTGATTTTCTGGGCACATGTGGCAGAGTTATCATTACGTGAACAGAAGCGACATCTGCGAAGATCACCTCGGCAGCAGGCAGTGAAGGTGTGACCCCAATGAGAACAGAAAACACAAAATGCAGACCCCGGGATGATAGGGTTCAGCATACAGTGGAGGGAGGAGTAGGTGGAGTCTTCCCCCGGTGTGGAGCTTGTTGAGAGGAGGTCTTGTTTGTTTAAGAGCATTGAGTAGAATGAACTTCACGGTTGTTGTTGTTGTTGTTGAGATTGTCGGACCGTAGTCCGACACGGGCTTTTGCCTATCGGCGGCCCGTTTGGTAGTTCCGGCTGGAGCTCCAGGAGCAGCCAGACCGGATTGGGATTGGAGGTGGTCCCACCTGCAGATTGGAGGGATACTGCAGGTTGCAAGTGTGAGCGGACCCCCGATCAGTGGACGCTTACCACCAGCCCCCACTCTTGGACGTGGTCAGCTTCGGAGTGGCGCGCCCCCGAACTGGGGTCCGCACTTGCTGGGAGAGGATGCTTTCTAAGCTATCTGGGTGGTGGGTATCGTGTGATGACCCGGAGTAGGTGGTGAATGTGGTCTGTATGGGCCTTTCGGGTTAGAGTGGCCGCTGGTGTTGTGTGTGTTTCTTGGGAGATTTGAGTTCAGTTTCGGAGGCTTTGTGTGACCTCGCAATCGAGGAGATAGTGTTCAAGTGGGTTGGCTGCTGGCTCCTGACAGTAGGTGCATTCCGTGACGTCATTTCCGATCATCTGCCAGGAGCACTTGTACCCTAGTCGTAGTCGATGAAGGCTGACTTGGGTTTGTCTTGGAGTTTTCTTGTCAGGTTTGTTGTCCACTGTGCTGAGTATCTCGGCGATGTTGTTGCCTGTGCCGGTGTTCTCGGTGTAAGCAAAGATGTGAGGGTGTGGGCTGCCTACTTTCCACTTGAGTCGGTTGAGAGCCATTCTTTCTCCCGTCTTCACTATGCAGCTGAGAAGGGAGATGGGCCTCGGTTTGTCTGGTTCTCTGGGCTTCGGAATGGGCTGTATATCTGCCTTCTTCCATTCCGGTGGGAGTCTTTATGCTGTCCACGAAGCATTGATGGCTTGCAGCAGAGCCTCGTGTCCGGCTGTACCGGCATGAGAAAGCATGGAGTAGGTTATCCTGTCGGCCCCTGGAGCTGTGTCCTTGCTTCGTTTTAGCGACTTCTGGAGTTCTTGCTGGTTGAATGGTCTGTCAGTGTCATCTTCACTGTTGCAGGCCTCTTCGATCATCTGGAGCCTGACCTGTCGCAGACGCCGTTGTGTCTCCTCCGCCTGTCTCGGGAGGTTTTTCGTTGCTGCTCGGTCAGAGAACAGTTTTGCAAGTCTCTCGGCTTCCTCTTCTGGGTTGGGATGGGTTGGTGGTGGTGGTGTTGCCTTCCCAGATGCCCTTCGGATCTGGGCCCACATCTTGCCAAGGGAGGTGTGCTCGTTCAGTTCGGAGCACCACTTGAGCCAGCTTGCGTTTTTTATTTCTTCCTTCTCTTCCCTGGTATCCTTAACTATGACTTGCAGGAGATGTCTGTTTGTTGCCGTGGGATGTCTCCTGTAGTTTCTTCGGGCCATGTTCACTCTGTGGTTGAGTTCTTTCACCCTGGGACAGTAGTACCAGTAATCATTGTACTGTCTTGATGTGGGTTTTGTTTTTGGGATAGCCTCTTCTGCCGCTTGGTGAAACGCCTCGACCAATTGGTGGTGGAGGGTTGTCTCATCCACGGGTGCTGCGCCGGCCGGCTGTGATTTTTCGCGCCACTTAGCCAGGTGTTTCTTAAAGAGTCCCCAGTCTGCCTTTTGGGTATTGTATCTCCATCTCGGGGGGGGTGGAGTGGGGAGTTTGTTCACCTTCAGCGTTGTTAGGGTGGCGAAGTGGTCGCTGGTCAGCGTGGGGTGTATCTGCCAGGAGGCCGAAGGCTGTAGTGCACTGGAGACGAAGGTTAGATCTAGCCTTCCTCCCCTAGTGTGGGTGGGCTCTCCGGTGTTCAGGAGGCAGATCTCGGGTGTATCTTGAAAGGTGGTGTATAGGTGTAGGCCGTCTTCATTTGTGGGGCTTGCCGAGCT